TAGGACAGCATTAGCATTACATAGACTTGTAGTCAAGACCGCCTAAACCGAGACAGACACTACCAAGACCAGAGGGTATCGAGACCAAGACAAGACCAAGGACAAGACAGACCAAGTCTAGACCAAGACCGAGGCCAAAGTAACGTTAACTTTAGTAAAATGTAAATTGATTTAAGTAGTGCTAGCCGCCGGTAGCCACTGATAGAGCTAACTACCTGTACTTAGCATGTAACGTTAGTTACACTCTTCACCAGGTTAACGTTAGTTAAGTTATGTCCTTAGAGAAGCTTGCAAAAAATGTGTCCCTAAATAACTTATACCACAAGTGTGAGAAGAACACATGATAAACAACAATAATTCAGCAGATACATGATCTGTTTGGTCATGGGAGGTTGGAAAGGTTTTACCTCAAAGAGTTTGAAAACGGGTAACGTTAGATTACCTTTGCCTGTGTTTACGCTCCAGGTGTCTGGTGAACGTTGAGGTGGTCCCGGCTGTCTCTGTCAAGCAGACTTTGCAGAATCTACATTTCGCCGAATGCTTCTTTTTATTTGACGATGTGCAGAAGAACTCATTGTGTTCTACGAAAGCAAATTTTATGACCAAGGAATTCGCTGACATACTACTTACTGAATGTGCTCTTTACGCTCTAGTCTATGCTACACTCACTCACTGAGGCATAATGTTATATGGATGGATGAGCGCCAACGGCTGTGTCACAAAAAAAAATACATGTGATTGGTTGCATTTGAGGGGAGCGAAATAATAATACTGTTGCATTATCGAACGTTGTGTCGTCGTGGATATAGACCTAGACAAGACCGAGAGGTCCGAGACAAAGACAAGACCAAAGACCGTGGCGTCAAGGCCGTGACAAGACCGAGACCCAGTAGTTAGTGGTCGACATCACTAGTATTACAGCCAATGTAACGTTAAGTCTTATGAGATCTTTCATCGTTTACGAAAACTCGAAGTCCGATCAGTAACAGTTATAAGAAAATATATAGCTACAAACTTCAAAACAGTTTTAAAATCTGTGCCGATGTTAGTACCGTTGGGTGAAAAGGTCATCATAGCCGTGCTTTTTCGTGTATAAAACACGGCCATGACGACCGCTTCTTCACCCAACGGTTCTATGCAACACTACTTAACATCACCCTTAGCAACCACTCTTAGCAATGTAAACAAATGTTTCTTCTTACATTGAAGCCATTGATTGAAGCTTATAGAGTATTGCGAGAGATCGAGTACGTAAGTGAATTTACCTGCATTTACAGTAGATATAGCATTTTCCTTCAGGTCAGTCCTATATTCGTAATACAATAACGTTACGTTATATGTTTGAATGTCCGCTGCGATAACATGCAGTAGGCTAACGTTACTTTTAACCTGCTTTTAACAGTGCCCTAGCACGTTAGTCAGTAGTGTTTTGCTTCTCCGTGTTCACAAGTTTCAGTCCTTTCAATATAAAAGTCTTCTCTACTGACAGACTCACTCATAAAGACAGTATTTGTTGCATTTAATGGAGAAATAAGCACTGTTCACGGTTAGGGACTCTTTTTTCCAGCGTAAGGAATGCTTTTGCTAGTGATTTTTCTTCATGAAAGTTGCATTGATAAATCTTTTTGGCTTTAATATTTGTATTGTGTGCGGTAACCGTTTTATAAAAGCAATAAGGTAACGTTAACGTTACTCGAGGCTAGTGGTGTTGCAGTAGGCACCTAAGCCGTGACCATAGACTGTAAAAAATGGCCGAGACTTATTCACGATAAGTCGCGTGACTTATTCACTTATCTTATCCTCTCGGTAACTTACCTTATTGCTTACATAGGCTATTTATCGATATAGATCGAGGATTATAAAAACACTTAACTATTTTAAATGTTCAAAATTCCTTTTGCATGGGCTTTTCTGTTATATTTGCTTTTAAATGTATAAAATAATATCATATAAAAAAAAATACAGCATGGACATACCATGATAAAATGGAACATCTAAAATGTTTTACTTTTATTTATTTTATTTTTATTGGACGTTGACGCAATTTCTTTTAGAAACAAACTTTGTTATATTGTTATATTGTTTTTGTTATATTGTTTTCATGTTATCACTGTGAAGCGCTTTGATACAATCTGTATTGTAAAAAGCGCTATATAAATAAAGGTGACTTGACTTGACTTGACTTTCTAACTCCGTTATGCTCTGAATATGATTTGAATGGCTGCATATTTGACTTCAATGCTTTATCCTCAATGTAGCCTGAAGTGGTTTTCTAAGTTGGACAACAGCACCATCTAGCTGACACAACAATTACTTTTGGTGTACTGCATACAACACTAAGGGCCTAACACAGGCGGGATGCTCTTGAGTCCATTTCTTGGGACAGGAAAATAATAATATAGCTTAAAACTAATCTGTGTCCAAGTAAAGCTACTGGTATTTCTGCCATGGCAGGCACTTGTGCTCTAATGTGGTGTCCACTTGTTTGAGTTAGATGGTATCGTACAAGGACAAAGCTATAAAGAAACATTTTAAAGGAGTCATACCATAGGGTACCGTGGTGACATTACCCACTACCCAGAATTCAGTTGGCATGACATCTAAGAACATTCTGATGCTGTGTGCTCAGAGGGAGATGGTCTATTGTCCCTGGTTCGGCCTTCAGGCGCTGACAGTTGCTCTTCTTGCCAAAATGGCATCTAAAAAACATTGACAGTGGCCTTCTCCACCAAAGCAGCAATTTCATGAAATTACCAACAGGAAATGGAACTCACATGTTGGCCAGTTTAGTTCTTGTGTTTGTTTTCTCTTTGAGACCTTTGCAAAATAAAGGCATGTAAAATATGAAAATCCTCAATTTGTACAGTATCATTTTGGCAGCTCAAGGAAATGTTTTCAAATTGTAAAACAACTTTCTAAATATGCCATTAGATCAGCTTTACCAAATTGTTAACACTTTACAATAACGTCCCTTTTATCAACATTAGCTAACATTAACAATGAGCAATATATTTTTTACAGTGTTCATTCATTTTTGTTAGTTAATGCAAATGATTCATAAGATACTAAATGCTATAAGTACTGTAATTTTGACTTAATGTTGGTTAATGTTATTAACTGCTAACATATTAAATCTTATTGTAAAGTGTTTCAACAAAACTGTTACTCCTAAGGTCTAAGAGCTAGTTAGAATTCACAGTACGTTTGTTGATGACGCACAAGAAGCACATGAGCATCAAGGTACAATGTTCCAGCCGGATATACAATAAAACCAAACAATAACAATAAAAACTCAATGCAGAATCACCATTTGCCATGAAATTAAAGCCAGGTCTGTGCTCTTCCTGCAGCTGTGAATCTGTATTTCAAGCTGTATTCACATTTGTAGAATAGAAATTAAGAATCCATACTTGGAAATAATTTTGGTGCACAAAAAGGTCTTACATTAGCCTGGAACAATCTTTTATTCTTTTATGGGGGGGACCAATTAATAAGTTTAATTACAAAGCAAAAATACAAATACAATAGACAAAAAAAAAACACAACTGACAATGAACAGATCATGAAATATGACGGCTCAATGACAATATCATGGGTATTCAACAGGGCAGGGTTTTTTTTTTTTGCATGCAAACTCGTCACTTCCGAAACAGAGTATCAGATACTTGTGAAATATTTTCTGTTGTAACTGGGGCTATATGATCTATGACAAATGTGTTTTTGTATATTATGAACTCGTTTAGTAATGCAATGGCACTCTGCAAGCAACTGCAAGATTCTCAGGAGAGGTAACGGATAAACAAAAAGCAAAGATGGCAATTTCTATAGGTAATGGATACTTAATACACGTCATACAAAACTCTGCTATATTTTCTATGAAGGCAATTACTCCTTACAAACAGGTTTATATGCTTTCCTCAAATTACATTCAAAAAGCTACAAAATTATACTAAACCAGGTAATGAGCAAGGCTTTAGTGCATGGACAAAATAACATCTAAACCATGCTCTACAGGTGAATAGCATGTTTTCAAGTGCTACTGTATATTTCTTATCACTAACAAAGCGCGTTTACTCTTTAGGTGTCAAAAAATCCTTCATACGACCCACATTTAAGTAACTCCTAAATTGGGGAAGTGTGTTTATCCTTAAACTGACAAACTACAATCTCATCTTTTCCAAACCTTATTTGTTGTAAAAACCACAACTACACTGAAGTGCTAGGGCTAACTTACCCCTCACTGTGTCACTGAAGCCTTTAGTTTATAACTAACTACAGTAATTGTTTAAGGTGTGATGACTTCATTACTATTATTACAGACTACAGTACATATTTAGGATGTGCAGGCAAATTCAACTGTAAAACTAAAATGTTTTAGTGCAGCAGGCTGGTTGAACTAAGCAGAATGCAAAAGAAATATAGTGCAGCTTCAAATGTTATGGTCTCCAAAACACTACCATGGGCGTTAAATATGAGCAGAGGCACATGAACACAGCCCATCAGGTGTCCTGGAAATGGCAGGTAAATACTGGTATCAAAGAAAGACTGACATTTGGCGGATAGACATTTTTGTTAAGCACATACTCTGAAAAACTATTGAAAAAGGTCACAATATCCTACAGCACTGAGCCACTTCACTTTCACAGCACGTAGGTACTACAGGTGGCTGCGATTTGAGAAAGTCCACATCCTACAACTAAAAAAGAAAGAAAATACGATTGTAAAAGGTGCATTGTGATGAACTGCTCTGCAGGCAAACATACTAGAACACACATTGTGCTTTGTTTTTGCATTCTAGCTCAATGCAAACTGACAAAAAACATCTGATTACCTGGCAACAGGATCAGGATTAAATACTGATCAAATTCTTTGACAATATACAAAAATACAAACTGTTTTCAAAATAGATTTCAGAAAATCATTGACTGTAGATTGTGTTTTTGTCTGGCACTGCATGAGCTAAGACATTGTGCGCACATCAATTGTCTTCCTCTTTTCGCTGTAAGTTTCAAAAATATCTGGGGAAAGCCAATGACGATTTCAATTGCAATGCTTGACTACATGTGTCATTCTGATTGATGGATTCTGGGCTTTAGTTCTCAGATGAATTTCCTTTGATCATTGTTTTTTGGCAAATCATGAACAACTGCAGTACTGGCTCCTTTACTTGGCCTCGGTTGGCATTTTGCACATTACAAGTATCTGTTTCAAAGCCTTTTGCACATCTTCATCCATCTGGCCCTAAAAGGAAAGGTTTCAGAGATTAAAAGTTATATTCTGAACAGTGAGAAAAAAACTGAAATAATTCCATAAGATAATACAGTATATGGATGGGAATAAGTACAATATTATTAAATAAATATATAAAATAGTGTTATATTTTTGTAACAGTGGTTGACATTGCACTATTTTAACAGAGGAAACATTTAAATGTCAAGTTATCATGTGTACACACTGTAATAAAAAACTAATCGGAAATCAATACGGACCTGGACAGCATAAAGAAGGTGCATCCGGTAGACTGAGACAATTTCATGATGGCGTTTCTTGGACTCCTATAGCACAAAAAAGCAAATACTGTTATATGTTTGAAGAGCTATTTTGAGCCTTTAATTGAATGTATGATGCATCTGTCATGCTCATAAAAAACAACAACCATTTTCTATGCTGCTATATACCGGTACACACTATTGTTCAAATGTTTGGGGCCAGAAATTAATTAAAAAATTATACTTTTACATCTAAATTGGTCAACAGTGACAAAGACATTTATAATGTTACAAAATAATCCATTTCACATAAATGTTGTTCTTTTGAACTTTCTATTTACCAAAGAATCCTGAAAAAAAATATTATAGCTCCCACAAAAATATTAAGCAGCACAACTGTTTTCAACATTGATAATAAGAACTGTTTCTTGAGCACCAAATCAACATGTTAGAATGATTTATGAAGGCTCACGTGACATGCAAAAAAAAAAAAAATCTTTGCCATCACAGGAATAAATCAAACTTTAAAATATATTAAAATAGAGAACAGTTGTTTTAAGATGTAATTATATTTTATAATATTACAGTTTTACTGTATTTTTGGTCAGATAAATGCAGTGTTGGTAAGCATGAGAAACTACCGACCCCAAACTTTTGAACCGTTGAGTTAGGCTACTATCTTTCCTATAATGAAACAGAACATTAGATTCCTTGCTAATTTATGGCAGAACAAGATTAGTAACATACAGAAAGCTGATATTGCAGTTGTTTGATCTGCTGCTGGAGCAAGTCCACCTGCTGGCTCTGTTGTCTCTTAGGGGTGCTAGTGGTGTACGACAGCTGTGACAGGCTGTTCAGAGCATCCTTCAACTTCATGATTTCTTTTGAGAGCTCATCAATCTGTTGATAATAAACAAACATGACACATTAGGTTTTAATATGACACATCTGCATCAATTTAGACAGAACTGTGTGTGAGAGAATCAGCACCTTTTTATTCTTCTCTCTCTCTGAGATAACATGGTTCTCAACCTGCTTCTTCAGCTGGACAATGATATCCTGAGCCTCCTTGTACCTGGTATTCAATGCACTGCACTCTTGCTCCCTGCAAACCGCCAGCTCCTGCGCCGCTTCTCTCTCATTCCTGCCGTCCCTCACCTCCTGCCAAGCAGCGGTCACCTCTAGGGCCATCTCATCCTGTTTCCTGAGAGCATCCTTCAGTAGGTGGTTCAGGTGACTTATCTCACCCTCCAGCGTCTCCCTCATCTGCTCATATTCCTGCCGGGATAATGAATCATCTGGAGTTACATCCTTCTCAACTGTCTGTCTGTTCTGCAAAGCGTCCACCTGCAAGGTCTTCTGGGCGAGCTGCTCTTTAAGAACTTCAACTTCCAACTCTAGGTTCTTGATAGCGTTCCCCAAGGATGCCACGACCTGTGTGTGGTCTGCAATGGCTACAGAAGATTGAGCCTGGTTTTCGGCATCTTGTTTAACCTGGTCTATTTCTTTTAGCGCCGCTTGATGCTTAGCCTCAGTGTCCTTCACAATGTTCTGCATGTCCTTCATCTTGAACGTCAGCTCTTGAATTCTCTGCTCATGCTCCTCCTTGGTGACACAGACCACGTCTGCCTTGTCCTTAGGCTCTGATTCTTTGGCCTGCAGCTGGTTGCGGGCAGCGCTAAGCTCGCTTTTGGCCTCACTGTACGACTTTGAGAGCTCCAAAAGCCGCCGCTGCAGCCCATCGATAATCTCGCCAAGCTCTGCCTTCATCTCCTCAAAGTCTTTGGCAGCAGCCTCCACTGGCACAGTGCCACGAAGGGCCTCCTGGAGCATCTTGATCTCTTCTTGAGACTCTTTGTACTTCTCAATCAACAGCGTCTTCTCCTGGTTGATGTTCTCCACCAAAACGTTGTAGGTGTTCTTTAGTTCTTGACGCTCAACTTCGGATAGGCTGACACTTTTGAGCTGAGCCTGAAGATCCCTTATCAAACAAGTATCTTGCTTTTGCTCCTCCTGTGACCTGGCCAACTTTCCCTTCAGTTCTTTGACCTCCTGCTCCAGGCAGCTTTTCAAATACTGAAACTTCTGCACCACATTGTCTTCTTGTGGACTCACAGAATCTCCCCTCAGCTGTAACTCTTGCAAAGATTCTTGGTGTTTTTGAGTATCTTCGTCCATGCTTTTAGACGCAACTTCAATTTTCTCAAAGTCAGTGTTGATTCTGGCCTGAAGGGAGTGGTTTTCCATTCTGGACTCTAGAAGTTTAGCCTGCAGATTCTCCAGCGCATCCCGTAGCAGTCCGATTTCTTTATCTGTACTCAACCTCACATCCTCCTCCATCTCATGTTTGATTGAGGAACTGCTAATGTCCAGACCAGACATCTCCGAAAGATCCTCTTCATCCGTGTGGATGTGCACGTCGCTGGAGAGCTCAAAATCAGCACGGGTGGAGTGGTACGAGGCATTGGATTCGATGCTGTTTGGACGGGAATTTCCATGGCCTTCCTCTCCTTGAGGAGCTGGACGTTTCTGTTCGGTGAGAAAAGATAAATGTTCTTGAAAATCAAGATAATGACTTGCAATGCACATCTTTATTTACAAATACTCATTACTTAAAAGTGCTTTGTGCAATTTCCAACCACCAAAACAGATTTGTAAAAATTTATACAGGGCCAGGCAGTACTGCCCCAAACTCAGGCCACTGACTGTTTGACATGGCAATACATGGCAATGACTGGCATGACATGGCAATACTTGTTTAAAAAGAAGGTAACCGACAACGTTTTTTTTGTTTTTTTTTACGAAAAAACAAAAATTCACATTTCAGCTTTAAGGTGACATTTTTTTTTACATTGAGTTACCTTTATTATTTGGGCAAGCTGCTGGTTTTCCAGGGAGAGAGAGGCTATCTTTGCTTGCAGGGCTGCAATCAACGACAAATTTGCATTGTCAGACTGCTCCATCTGTTTCAAAACAGGAGGACAGCAAGAGATTATTTTACAATATCCTTTTTATTGGGCTTTAGACATCAAAATCTCACTTGAGACCGACAAACTGATTCCCTGCGATCTGTTACTATAATAAGAGAAGTCAAGCAGGCCACCACAAAATTTCCATAACATAAGAGGCTGTTTTGAAGAACACCATTACTGAACACAAAACACAGTGTCTCTGGATTTTGAGGTTTTCAATGCTTACTCAAGACTCTGTAAGGTCACGTAAAAAAGACCCACAGGTTTGCGTCACTAGTCGAAATTCAAACAGAATGCACAAACTTAAACAAAACTCATCCGCAAGTTCGAGGCCAAGACTGGTGGTGTGGATGAGAAGTCTGCTTTTGTGTACCCTAAAGCAAGGTCCTTCACCTGGCCAGGGCCAGTAAAAATGCAGCTGTTAAAATGGGTTCCAGAGAGCAAAAGTGGCTGAAGATCAAAGCAGCTGCCACATGAAGGAATATTAAAGGGCTGTGCGGTACTCGCCTTGGGCTCAGTCTGCTCCACAATCTGCTTCAGATCTTCAATGGTCTCAAGCAGCATGCTCTTTTCCTCATGCAATTTCTCGATCTCATCCTTCAGTACAGTACTTTTCAGCTCCTCCTCCTCAACAAACAGGAAGTGAAGAACTCCAAGTTAATCAGGTCATTAAATAATGAACAAAATATAACCGCAACATGCCTATGGATTAGGTATCTAACACAGGTGGGGGGGTTTTTTTTTCACCACGGACAATATTTCAAAACCTAATAAGCTGTCTACCTAGACAGCATTTTGGGCATTATAGCCATGTTCAAATGGTATTTGGTAAAATTTGGTAGGCAGTGACTAAGCTTTGAGACACCCAATAAGTAATGTGAAACGTTTTTTTTTTTTTTACTAGTTACAAAATTAATTTTTAGGATATGTTTATTTATATTTTTTTATTATCATCAATATTATAATAAATAATAAGGCATAAATGATTACAATCAATATTATAATATTTTCTTGATTTATACATACATACTTTATATCTTTGATTAAAACTGATCTGATACCCCTTAACGCTCGTTCCATATTTTACCTTGTAATTGAATCTTTTGGATGAATCACTTTTGCTGGACAAAGGAGTATCAGTTGGAGTAAAATAAGTTGGTGAGATGATACCAGCCGACTGAAAAATAAGACAAAGGAGAGCGTAAAAGTGAGGCTAAGCTTAGAGACAGTAAGAGCCAATATGGATACAGAAAAATTGTTATCAGATGAATATTCAGAAGTAATTACATAAAGAATTGCGTCTAAAGCTTTTAGAAAGTGCAGAGATCATTACCGATTACAGATTCAGCACTGTGTGCCTTTACCTGGATTGGGCTAATGGGAGGAGGAGGTGCTTTTCTCTTTTTGGGAGTGGAGCTTCTGTCCTCATTTAACTTTTGACCATGCTGAGATTGTGTGCGTGATAAGGAGAGTGGCAAAAAGAGAGAGAGAGAGAAAGACGAAGTAAAGTGTTTAAGTGGTTAGTGAAATAAACACTGCACACTTAGTTTTGGAAAAGAAGACTATCACTACAGGGTGAGGCAAATGCCAGTGCAGGTTTCTAAAAGTGCATTGTGGGAATGTTTGTTAAATGTAAAAATAAAGGAATATTCAATCAAAACTCCTGGCTCGAGGCTGACACAGTTAAAATGTGAATTTAAATTGTCTATGGAGAAACTTTGCAGGTTCTGTAAATCAAAAAATGAGGAAAACCATCAAAGTCTGAGGGGATGAAAATGAATGAAATGAAAATGAACTTGCTTACCTGAGGGGTTCTCGTTGAATTCTTATCTGCTCATGGCAAAGATACAGGAGGGGAAAACATGGAATGTGGTTATGAGGGGAAAATGAAAATGGCATGTCATTGCCTGGTGCTAACATTAGTTATTCTGTCTTAATCTTCCCTTTTTTTCATTATTTCGCAAGCAGATCTGAGAAATTTTGCAAAAAATTGGATGTGTGAAAGCATGAGGTTTAAAAAAAGAAAAGAAAATGCCACTAGATGGCAATGTTGAGCCAATAAGCTGTGTGTAAATTGAGGACAGAAAAGAAAACAGAATTTAACATTTAAGGTGACGATACGCGCACAAATATTCGGATCAATTATTTATAGTAAATACTGCAATACTGCAAAAAATGTCATGGTGACTTTAAGCATCATGGAGAGGAATGTACCTGTAGATACTGACCATTGGTATTTTAATCATAATCTGAAATGACAACTTAAAGCTAAATTGTTCAAATTGACATCACACTGATATTCACTTTTAAAATTACCTGATTCCGACTGCTGTCTGTGGAGGGCATTGTTGAGAACGGTTCGGACCTCGCTGCTGCCAGACAGTTTGGCGTAATGGAGCACGTTGTGGCCGAGCGAGTCCACCATGTGCAGGTCAGCTCCCCTCTGCACCAGAAACTCGACAGCGGCCGGACAGCTGCTCTCACTGGCCAACATCACTGCGGTTCTGAATGGATAATAGATGTTTTTTTAATTAATACTTTCATTTAGCAAGTACACATTAAAAGCAACAGTAAATAGATTTAGAGCAAAGACAAAAGATTTCTATTTCACATAAAAATGAAATAAATCCTGTTCTTTTGGACATTCCATTCATCAAAGAATCCTGAAAAAAAATGTAAGAAATGTTTCTTGAGCGCCAAAGCAGCTTATTAGAATGATTTCTGACAGATTCTGAAAGACTAATGAGTAATGGCTGCTGAAAATTCAGCTTTGCCATCGCAGGAATATTTTTCATAAAAAAAATTCAGCCTTGGTGACCATAAAATACTTTCCAAAACAAAACAAAAATCATATTGATCCCAAACTTTTGAAAGGTAGCGTGTTCCGTCTAAAAATGGATTATGTTATGCACAGTTTAGTTGCGCTGTAAGCATTCCAATTTAGTTGACTCAGCTCACTTGACACTTTATGATAGCAGGGTGTAATGTTTAAATTGAAAAAACTTTTCTTTTTAGCAGTCTCTCAATATTGTGACCGATAACCAGAAACATACCTGCCATTTTTGTCTCTAGCATTGATGTCAGCACCCCAGTCCAATAAACTCAGGCAGACCTCTGCATGCGCATGTCTAGCTGACAAGAGCAGGGGCGTCAAGCCGTCCTAAATGGAAAAAGAGCTTTAAATCAACATAATTTTCCTTCAAATACCATCCTCAGCATGTTAAGAGGCTACGTTATAGGAATAGACAGTACATTAGACAGAACTGGCACCAAACAGCGAGACAGTGAAGACACTGAATTATCATCAAAATGTAATAGAGCATCTAATATCAACAGAAGTAAAACCTGATGCATTCAAATCTACATGATATTAGGTGAACTTTCCCCCTTCTTTTCCTAATATCCTCGGGCAAACAATCTTCTCAAAGAGCTCAACGCCTCCTACAAGCGACCCCAGAGGTCACAGGGGGTTCGGCCAATTATTCCAGAGCGAGAGAACCTGACACCTCATCAAAAGCACATTTAGGATGACAAGGCTGAATTTGAGCTGCAACCTAAAAATTACACCACAACTCTGTACAGCACTTCAATGCATTTAGGCTTTCTCAGTTAAAACTACAACTACAAAAACAACAAAAAAGAGGCTGTGCATGCAAAACATTGTGAACTATACAGTAGTGTTTTCAATTCTGCTGACGTTATGATACATTTGAATTATTTATAGAGAAAAGTATCAAAGTTGTATTTTCTTTTCTTCGGGAAGCAAGAAGTGCAGATCTAGACTTTCTGTGGGAGCTCACAACATGGTGCGGTTTTTCCCTGGGAAGTGTGAGGAAACTGAGACTGTGTTGATGCTAGCTAGAGCATGTTTGTGGTAAAAAAAGGTTTAAATTCATCTTTAGATGTTTTTCAATTTGCATCTTAATTGGCAAAAGCTTAGTCATAGCAGTCCAGGAGGTGATTTGAGCTCAAATGAAACGATTAAATACAATCCTACTGTATGCTCGGGCTGGTTTCTTCCCTGGCATGCATTGAAGAGCCAAGACAAGATTAAATTTAACAAGCTAACATTTAAGACATCTGGAAGGTCAGGGAATGTTATAACTACAGTTTTATACTAACAGGAACATCTGTTTGCCCGATATATGAGTGATGAAATAATTGTCTATTTTGTTTAGGCCTAGCTATTACACATCCCATCAAGACAATTTTCTTTGAACATTCTGTGAGTGACCTTTAAGTTAAATGACATTTTCTAGGCAAATTATGGTGAAAACATAATCGTTCAAAACATAATTTCACAAGGTCTTTAAGTTGAGAAAAATAAATTCTCTTCACATAGCAAACCACAACAATCCCAATTAATTAGTTTATAACTGCATTCAGCACTGATAAACACAGCATAAGGCTGCTGTGGAGAAAGTCTGTTTACAACATATACCTCATGGGCATTCACAACTGAGCCAATTATGCAATGGCTGGGTCACTGTAATAGAAACATTAGCATGATTGTAGGAGAATTGATTGGTTTGTTTACATAACGAGGGATATACATTCATCAGTCTTAACATAAAACAGGTTTTGAGAAAATATTGTATCTAACAAACCATTTTATAAGGTGTTGCTCAAAGAAAGCCTGTAAATGTCCTCAATATTAATTTCTTCAAGCTAGGAGATCTTGAGCTGTTGCAATCACAAAAGGAAATACACAAAAACTATACCTTTAGAGGTACAACAGTTTGTCACTTCAGCAGTACCCTCAAAGGGGCATAAAAAAAACTGAAGATAAAACCCGTAAGACTTTCTTCCCTCTGTGAAACACCAAAAAAAAAAGCAAGGCAATTTTTCACACAATGCGTTTTGGGGTGATTTTGTGCGTCAGTTCCTGTGCATTAAAACCACTTGAAAAAAAGCCCTCAAAACGAAGTCATATGAGTTCGCAATGACATGAGCAAGAGTAAATGATAACAGAACTGTCATTTTTGGTTGAACTATCCTGTTAAAATGTAAACATTTTTGCAGTGTAAGTGCATGCCATATGCTCCTGAGGATATGAGCATCCCATATGCTGCGAGGAAGAAATAAGAGGGAAAGAACCAGGTGTGAGTTTTCTAAATTAGACAGAGTGGCTTTTGCTAAGCTGTTGGTGGATGAAGGATTTCCATCCATTTAACAGCTCAAAGGCAAACTCCAAGATGAAAAGAAAAAAGAAAAAAGAAAAAAGGCACACATCACTGGACTCGTTCATTACTAACAGCCTAGTTTTCGAAAAATTAGGCCCAGTGTTTTCTGAGTGGGCATCAAAGCTCAATAATTTGTGCTTGAGCCCAGAATGTTATTGCGACATTAGTTGGGCTACGCTTAATAATTTAGCAGAGAGAGCAGGTATTTACGCATGTTCAAAGCAATGGGCTGAGTGGGCATGAATGTGCCAAGCTTGCCTCAGAGGATGACGACGGTGGATAATCAGTGACCGTAAGCAGAAGCAGCCTCTGATTCCCATCTACTTTTGACTCTTTTCTGACTGCTGAAGCTCTTTAGTCATGGTTGTTTAAATGAGAGAGGCACAGCTTGAGGGTTCGCTGCCTCCCACACCGGCCCTCTGTCTCTCAGTAATATACAGCTTGAAAAGAGAAAAAAAACCCGGTTCATTTCATTGGAGCTGCATGCTAACATTATGACAATTGAGATGTGTGAATTAGAGAATAGGTGATAATGTCGCATGGTAGACAAAGGCTGTTTATCTAGCAGACAGGCACAGTGGTTAAGTCAAAGTTTATGAAAAAGACATGCTTTCGATATACGTAAAAGAGGTTTGGGATCTTTTTATGCAAAATGCAAAAATATGAATTCTGTTCTGCTACATGCAAAAATGGATAAAAAATACTTTACTTTAAAACAAGTTATGCATCTGTTGTCTTGATAAAGCAGCCCATTATAAATCATTAGCCACAGCAGAACTATTGTGCATCTCCGAGAAACACAGTAAGTACCATGAGAGTGATTAGAGAGCAGGCGGCTCTGTATGCTTTTGAATTGCTCTTGCAGTACTTTGATGTCATACAGCGCCACGTCAAGTCAGCGTTTCTTTTCTGATTGAATTAACAATACGTGTTAATTGAGCGAATCAATCGGGTGAACCAATGATTCAATGGCCCATTCATAAAAAGAACCATTTGTGACCCTGGATCGCAAAACCAGTCACAAGTAGCACGGGTATATTTGTGGCAATAGCAACAATACATTGTATGGGTCAAAATGATCGATTTTTCTTTTATGCCAAAAATCATTAGGGTATTAAGTAAAGATCATGGTCCATGAAGATATTTTGTAAATTTCCTACCGTAAATAAATAAAATATTTATTTTTGTGAGCGAATGCAGCACAATCACGAACATAAATGGACAACTTTAAAAGGCGATTTTCTCAATGTTTTGATTTTTTTGCACCCTCAGATTCCAGATTTTCAAATAGTTGAATGACTTTAAATAATCTTTTGGGGGTAATTTCACAGCCAAATTTTATGTGCGATTAATTAGCGATTAATTCGATGAATTCATTGGCACATCAAGTAATTAATTCGATTTTAAAAATGTAATCGCCTGACAGCCCTACCTAATACAGGTTGTTTAGCCGTTCCCTCTCTTCCAGCGGTCTCCCCTGACAGAACACCGCTATTTGATGTATTATTAGAATGAAATGTTTCTCTTGAGATGCATCAGGGTCGTTCATCCTTCACCACAGTCAGTCTAATCTCTGGGATAATAGCGCTGTGGGTCTTAACAGATAACACTACTATTAAAGGATAACTGTGAATAATTGTGGATTTATATCTTTGTGAATAAATGTGGATAATTTAGAACAGACACTGCAGGGACAGCTCAATCCATCCAATGAATGCTGAATAAGAATAATTTGTTTACTTCTTAAAGATGCCCAGATAATGCAATGCATATTAATGAATTTCCGACACAGAGGAGTAATTAAGGTCAGTGTGATGGGCAATGGATACAAACCTTGACTATTAGTAGAGTCATCATTTACAAAAACATTTTAAACAAAACATGGTTTTGGATGTGCCAATATTTTTCTTCTGTTGTCTAAAGTTTTGAAGCCTTTTTTTAAATGATTTAACACTATATCTAATTTATCTCTAGGATGATGGTTAAACGTAAACATGATGCTAGGCAGATGCTAACACTAGCCAACCACAATTTTTTATGTAAATAGACTCACACACTTTGAATTTAATATGAGCCAGAGGTAATTTAGTTTACAAATAGGAATTTATAATTGTGGCGAGCAGGACGAGGCCGAGGGTCGTGAGAGAACGGCATGAGGCAGGTGGCGTGATTGATAATGAGCGACACATGCGCGACGCACCGGTCTCGTATCTCTCACGGAGGAGCGGAAGCATAAAGGAGGAGCGACGATGGTGGAGATCGAGAGAGGCCAGGCCTGGATTTTATTTGTGTTTTGTTATATGTGACAGCAGTCGTCCGTGAGGGGCTGCTGTCTTTACTTTCATTTTGTATTTGTTTATTTTACGTTTATTAAAGTTTTTGAAGGTTCGCCGGTTCCCGCCACCTTCTTCCCACAAAATCTAACCTTGCTACAATAATATATTAAATATTGATTCGTATTTATAATTTATAAATAATTAAAAAAATATTATTAAACACTTTGATCTTTTGTAATAGATTTAAACTGCCTCAATATAAATGTTTTATGGTAATCTAAATGTTTCTTATACCAAAACATGCCAGAGATATTTGTAGTAGTCTGAGTTACTAAATTAAAAAAAATCCCTTGTAAGTACAGAAAAAAATATTTTTGAACTGCTAGTCAGCGCTCTTGTCATCAACCAGACAGAAGCTATTTAAAAGAAGCACTGTGAGACTCTTGAAGGAACAAAAGAAAACTCATTGTAGAATAGAAAGTAAAAAAACAACTTTGGACAAGCAATCTCCCAGTAACAGAGACCTCAAGTGTGCCATGAGGATTTAAATCAATGCGGCTGAACACGGATTCAAACCCACAGAGAACAGTCTTTGGGGAGTTGTCCTTGACAATGCACATGTTTGAGGTACAGCACAGGCAGCTCTGAGATACATGTAGAGAAAGACAAAGTCCATTTTCACAGCAGTTAAAATATTTCTTATAAGACTCATACATACCAAGTCCTCAAGATTGACCTGACACTTGTGCTCGCACAGAAGTTGAACTATCACAGCGTTTCCGCTGGCAGCTGTGGGAGAGAGAAAGAGAGAACAGATAATAAGAAGCAGTTCTTTATCCCCACAGAGACACAAACAAGGGTTTAACAGCATGCCAACAAACTCTTTAAAGAGTAATTACTATGAACACTTCAAGCTTTCCCACAGAGACCAAAACCCGGCTCATAGTGTGTGACACCACTTATTTCCCAACAAATATTAGCGCCCCATTTAAAAATCACACCGTCCCCTGTTTCTTAACCAATTACGGCCATTATTCTCAAACAGCGGACTGGGATAAATGCAGTTTCTTTGCTTTGTAGTCCGTATGAAACCATGTTTTGCTTAAAGCATCCTGCCAGCAGACTTCTGACCTCCAGGTGGCTGCAAGCTCCTTGCTCTTCGAGGCCGATCCCACCCCGGTTCAATCCCTCACAGATGGCAAAAAGGCTCAATTAACAATGTCAGTTTTTTCCTCACTGTCTTCTATACAGACTGAAATGGGCAAGGGAGCCTTTTTTTTTTTTTTTTGCTAGGGATCAATTTGGTGAACAAAGTCTATACACAAATAAAAACATGCTGTTCTTTGGGTTTGCCCTCACTAATTGACAATTTGGAGCAAATGGTCCACAATAACATGTCATTCTGTGCTTGGGAGTGGAATAACGGTGCAGTGGGGTTAATGTTGAAAAACATTTGCACCAAAACACTACTCAGAACAAACTATTAATAAGCAAAAAGTAGTGAAAGAAAACAAGATATACTGAAGATAAAGTCTGTTGCTTGTCCTTGAAGGGCTCCTGAGTTGAGAAGTATTAAAGTAAACAGAATAATCTTTAAAACAAGGACATTTTACACCTCACCTGCGTGATGAAGAGCCATCTTCCCTGAGCTGTCAGGTGCATCCACCACACACTTAGTCTGTAGAATAAAACGCATTAGATTATTGCTTCAAACGCATTATCTAAAACCACCATGACATGTTCTTCTCAGAAGGCACTGCTAGACACCAATTACAACCTTTCAATCAAAACAGCTACGCTTTTTTTGGTGCAAGTTAATGATTTGCGCTCCTATTAAACATTTAGCAGCTTGTCAGGCCAGTGTTCATGGACGAACAGGCACAAGGCATTTATTTGACAGGCATCATCCGAGGAGAGGTGTAATATATTAAACCTGACTGCAGTAGCCAATCAGACCTAAAAATGTGCCTAATGTGGATGTCCTATTACTGACTGCCAGCTATTAACCCTCAAGTTCATTCTGCTACTATTATGTAAACGAGATTCCATATGTCCCTTTTAAATCCTTCAATAACTTGTCTTGTATGCCTAGATAAACCTCCAAAGCTTATTTTAATTAGAAGAGGCCAATTACTTTTTTTTTGTCATTAGAAATGACTAGACATTCAATCAACAAGAAAGTTAGCTAAGAAAGTTTTGTTTTTGTTTTCAGGGAACATTTCATCAGAATCTCAAGGCACTAGGTACATTAGAGCATTTGTTGTGTTTGGGAAGCCAGGCAAGGAGTTTTAGTTTAGGACTTCTGGATGAAACTAAATTACTACTATCAGGCACTTTCATTTGTGTAGCAGTTAATTTTCTGTTTCACAGGATCTTCAGGGGAAAAGGCCAATTCATTCAATTTATGAACACCTGGCTGTGTGGAGGGGAATATATCAATATATTTGATGAACATATAATGCAAATATTTGCAAGGCTTTCAACAGTTAAACAACCTCATACAAAACTTCACATTTTTCACTTGTAGAACACATTTAAGGTTGGAAGGTTAATGCTTGCAAAACAATAATGTACACCCCTGAAAAGTTTGGGTTGGTACAATATTTAAAATGCTTTTGAAAGAAATATGCACACCGTCTTATGCACACCAATGCTGCATTTATGTGATAAAAAAAATTATTAAAACATTGTGAAATGGTATAATTGAAAAGAACATCCTATTTTAATATTTTGTAAAATGTAATTTTGCAAGCTGACTTTTTAACATCATTACTTCAGTGACACATGGTCAGAAATAATTATAATATGCTGATTCTGTGCTTAAGAAACATTTCTAATTATTATCAAATGTTGCTTAATATTTTTGTGGAAACCATGAAATATATTTATATATTTTTAGGATTTTATGATGAATAATAAGTTCAAAAGAACAGCATTTATCAGAAATATAAATATTTAGTAAATTATTGTATATTAATGTGCTTACTCTTGATTTATTTAATTTATTAATGCATATTTGCTAAATAAAAAGATTAAGTAAAAAAATGACTGACACAAAATTTTAAATGGTAGTATATTTAAGCATTTTAAACTGGAGAGAAGTATGGTGGCCCCAAAATGTATCTAGACTTTTCAGGTGTTTAAGATCGATGTTATTGTATTAGATGAAAAAAAGGGTGCGATTTGTGAAAAAGCAGAGAGGGGATGTTTTTGAAACGGTTTTTTTGTTCTCGAGAATAAATCACAAACCACAGTGGGTATTTTGTGCACCTGTTAAAGTAACATTTATAGAATAATTATGAACTTTAATGAAACAATATCGGAACATTTTGAAAAGGGAATTTTTAATCCATTTTTACAAGATTATTACGGAGGCAGCTGAAGTTGATGGAGGAATTTGCAGCTTTACTCGCAGACTACAACTCATGTTCATCAATAAGGTGACAACCAGATCCTTTATAAACCACTATTTCATTTTTTTTTTTCATTTTATTTATAGAGCACATTTAAAAATGGCCACTGGCCGACCAAAGTGCTGTACACATAGAAAATAGAGCTAATAGTAGTAACACAAGTAATACTAAACAGTTTAAAACAGAACAATCATTATAAGCTAAAAGCATAAGAAAATTAATACGTTTTGAGACATGACTTGAACTCAGACAGAGAGGAAGTCGATCAAATATACAGTGGGAACTTGTTAGACAATGTTGGGCCAGCCACTTAAAAAGCTCGGTTACCCCTTGATTTTAGCCGGGTTCTAGGTATCTGAAGGAGATATATACTCGATATACCATATACCAAATATATACTCTAATTAAAAAGTGTACCATCCTAGTAGTAATCAAAGATGTTTGTTGTCTGGTGCGGTTTACACGATTACACTACATGCGTACCGCGCCCATGCCCAAATCTTCAAGCGGGCCAAGGCACAGTTGAGCGTACCGCGCCTGGGCATGGTACAGAGCGATCACACTAGTCAAATGAACCAGACTTTGGGGTCAAGCGTGCTACAGCATGGTTCAGATTGCCTAGTGTTAGTACACCCTTAATCCATACTGGCAAAGCCAATTCTGGCACCTATTAGTGAACACAGCTGACAGGCTCTGGACATTTCAGATCTGTGCAGCTCTAGTAGAATCACATGGAATGGAGAATGAGTCGCCCATGATGATAAAAGAGACGCTAGAGAAGGTGCCTCAGCAGACCGAGGGGAGTCTTGGAACATGCCAACCTGCCCACACACAAATCCAAACATGCAACACTCTCCAAGCTCACAGAGGGAGGCCGTGGGATTTGCTAGTTTACGAAACTGCAGGAACAAAATCTGCTCCCTTTGTTTAGCTGGCACACAGCATGGCAAGATACATGGCTGTTATTCCCATTAGCATCCGCTCCATCTCTGTGTGTACATCAAACTCTCAGTCTGTAATAGACAATCAATTGAAAATATTACCTGAAGCAACTTTTTGGCACACTCAGGATGGTTGTTTTTGGCAGCAAGGTGTAAAGCAGTAAACCCTGATGTGAAGAGAAGGAAACATTTACATTTTTACACTTCCGTAACGTAAAAGTAATGCAAGAAAACATGTTGATCTAGTTGTAAACAACCTGAAGCGTCCTGCAGAGAAACATCAGCCCCGTGAGCCAGGATGACAGCAAGGCACTCAGCTTGACCTTGTGTGGCTGCTACATGCAGACTGAGAAAGAAAGGGGGGGAAAAAAGTGTCATTAACACGTCATTTTTGTTGCAGATTAGCCACGCCACTCACACTTGGCCAGTTTTTATGTCATGTATAACTTGCCTGTAATCTATATGCAGTAAATAGAGGGCTTTTTAATTTAAAAGGTAGGTCAATGGCATGATCTATCTATATGCTTGCCCTAAGGCAATTGTAAAGCACTCTAGTGCAAATGAGTGACACTGGATCAATCCTTTTCATTCTGTGTAGCAAGTCAAGCACAAACTTCTCTAAAGGGGTCACCGGAAGCAAAATTCACTTTTATATGGTGTTTGCATATAAATGTGTCTTTGCAGTGTGTGGACACAACCACCATACAATGAAAAGAATCCATTCACATTCAAACAGTCTAAACACTCTCAATAATCAAGCCGTTTGGATTTGGTGAGCAATATGATGCGATATTGCTCATACTCCACCCACGACCACTGACCGACTGTCTGTATTAGCATATTTCTGCTCTCGGCCATTTGCATACTGTCCACCAAGGCAGGTTGCTAAGGCAACGCTTTATGTGTCTTGTGTGACACCCCCCACGGAAGAGAGGGTTGGGGTGAGCAGTTGCTCATTATCATTTAAAGTCGGCATGAAATCAAATTTGACTAATCTTCTTTTTATATGTAATATTGTAGTGTTTATTATAAATGATTTATCTGTGCACTTCATTTTTTTTTTTTTATTCGTGTACCCTTATAATCTTTAATCAAATACATTACCCTTCCCTCCCCCCTCGAAACGACCTCTCTTCTCTTTCGGTCACGTGGAATGGCGAAAGGGTGCGGCCAGAGCCGATGAGGGTGCGGCTATCGGTGCACCGCCTCTCAGAGAAGATACATTCAAATCTGCCTCCATTTTGTTTGCAACGCCCAACCTCCAACGATCCAATCAATTCCCGAAGGACGAAATCAAGCCCCGCCCTACATTTTTTTTCTAATTTCAGAAGCCGTTTCACTCGGATATACGTCACAACAAGGAAAAAATTACAATCTCAACTTCCGTTTCATGCCGACTTTAAAGAGACATGCACCAAAACAGGTCGCTGTGAACAGAGCTGTTTTTGTGGAGGTAAAAAGGGTGTTGTTTTACACAACCATTTAGAAATTTTAACCAAAGTATGTTACAAATGAAGACCCTAAAGAATCATACCAACTTGTGGAAAATGGGCATCCAATGACCCCTTAAAAAAAAAAAAAATAAAAAAAAATTGAGGGCACAGAATAATGGAGAAAAGTTTACATTTTTCAAGTGATTAAAAAGGTCAGTGCTCTCTATCCCTTAATAAACAGCTTCCATTGAAACCCACTGGTTTGATATCTACCATCTCATTATTAATTGGCTCTTAAGAGGACAAACTTCAGCAAAAACACAAATTAATCTATATGAAATTGATTAAACCCTTCTGGAGGATAAGGATCAAGATGCACTGGGATCTCTCTTTTGGGCAGTAATAAAGCTAACAACTAAAACTATGCAAGATGCCCAGATAATAACTTTGATGATTATGTTACTTGTGACAACATGGTTCTGAACTTTAAATGAACAAATCAAGAACTTTAAATATGGCAATTTAAGCACAATAAATATCACTCTAATGCTATTAAAGGTCAGTTCACAAAAAAAAAAAAAACTACACTGTTTTTGGTAGAATTAAAGCAACACACATCATAGTAATTTTGAAATTGGTTTGAAACACAACATTTAAAGGGATGGTTAACACTAAAATGACAATTCTGTCACCATTTTTTGTGTTCCACAGAAGAAAGTAAGTCATCACCTAGGCTATATGACTTTCTTCTCCAGAACACAACAGATGATAATTTGAAGAATGTTGGTAAAAATTTGGTTACCATTGAATTCTATTGTATTGACAAAAAAAAATTCAAGTCTTACAGATTTGAAAAAACAAAAGATGGGTAAATGATGACTGAACTTAAAAATATGCTAGCTTATTTAAGCTGTCTTTAAAAAATATGAAAAACTTTCTTGCTAAAGAAAGTTTTAAATTATAGGGAATTATGAAGCTTAATCACATGGTTTCCTTAGATTTAATTAAAGTCAATTAAATGTTCAGTCACTCTGCATTCTCCACAAGACAGATTATGTTTCTTTTAACCCTGAAAGAAGAGGTAACATTTGCTGCTGCATTTCTCCCGTGTTTTGTAATTAATATTATCAAGTGCTCTCTCGCAGTGCTTTTCAAGGTTAATGACATGGTCACCAGAGCATATGATTACCAAATCGCACTGGACTCATGTCCGACTCCTTCATTATAAGGAAATTATATCTCCATGGCAACTGTGACCGCTTGGAAATACAGCGAGGCTTTGTGTTCTACATGTGCCTCTCTGGCCCGTGAACCCTCTGGAGCGCAAGCACTCGAACACAATGAACTTCTCAAATAAGATAAGGATTTATTGTGAGCCTATGAGAACACTTCGGCTCAAGCCGCCCTAACGCAGGACACTAGAGACTCATTCAGGTCGCAGTGTCTGAGTTCATTACTTGCAGAGTGAAGAGAGAAAGCTCATCTCTCTGCATTCACTGGAGCTCATTCATCCATCTCATCATTCATCACGTGTCTATCTCTGATGTGCTGCTCAAAGGAATGTTGCTATACTTTCTTTATAGAAAACACTAGCAACCACCAAGCAAACCTACAGTCATGGCCAAGACCAACCAAAAAGGCTTTTATTGGCAAAAACATTCAATATATGGAAATAGTTAATATGTGCAGCATTGATCCTTCTTCATAACCTCCGCAATTTGCTCTGGCATGCTGGATATCAGCTTCTGAGCCAAATCCTGACTGATGACGATCCATTCTTGCCTTATTAGTGCTTGGAGTTGATCACAATTTGTTAGCTTCTGCTAGTCCACTTGCATTTTAAGGATTGACCACAGGTTCTCTATGGGATTAAGATCCACCTGGCCATGGATCCAAAATTTCAATGTAAAGGTCCCGATATACTTCCAAGCGTAATCGAAGAACAAACTGATGTGACGTCATCTCGAACAAAATCAGGCCAAAACTAACTTCGTTTGGAGTTCATTTTGGGAGTTCGAAACTGCTTGCCAAAGCGATCTTTCCAGAAAAGTTTGCTACGGCTAGTCAACACCTTTGTACTACCATTGATCCGTGGCGATTATGTAATAGGTAGGTCAGGGATGGAAATTAACTTTTTTGTCCACCGGCCACTGTGGCTGGTGGATTTCAAAATCTACCAGCCACTCAATGTTTTTACCAGCCACTTTCTTGTTTTTAACCGACAATGTGTAACTGCATGTGAAAATTAATACTACAAGAATACTTAAGCAGTTTATTTAATCTCAAGTCTCAATGAAATACTGACATTTTCTCTTTCTCTCACCCTCGGCCTCATCCACCTAATCTGTCATTTATTTTTGTTTTGATGATAAATTGAGCCAGCCTCCAAAAGTAATTAACCTGTCCTGTGATTTTTTTTTCTCTCACACAACACTCTCCAGACACGGATTTATGAGCTATAGTATGTTGGTTGCCTTTACATTAGAATAATATTTAATATAATCTAGATATGAAATGGAATAAATAGCATTCAATACAAAATGAATATGTCTCATATATTGAAATCAAGTTTTATGTGATAAAATATTTGCTTTGTTGTGCATTAGAACCACATCAGGCATTTAGTACAAAATAATTTATTGAAGCATCCAGATACTTCACCACGTGACAGCAGCTAGGCTCCTGATTGGTTAACGCGGCGCGAATTGACTCTAAAGTTCAGATTTTTCAACTCGGGCGGCAGACGCGAATTCGCGTCAAACGCGTGAATGCACAAAAGCACTCAAAATCATGCGCGCGGAACGCGTCAGACGCTCGAACTTGCCGCGCGAATGAGGCGTATTCGCATCTACCACGGCGCGCTCTACACCTCATTCGCGCCGCAGGAATTTTTTATGCGCGTAACGCGTCTTTGCATTGACTTAACAATGAAATCACTCGCGCCAGACGCTCTATTCTCGTCTGGTGTGAACGCACCATGATGTTTTCTCTGCAGACCTCTACGCCTGCGATGTAACGCCACATTTTGTTTGAAGGTGTGCCTCCTCTAAAAGTGTCCGCCGTCCGGGTGAAACAGTATGCTATTTTTATTTACCCGCCACGGTGGCCGGTAGGTGAAGCGAGTTTACCCGCCACAACACAAAATCACCCGCATTTGGCTGGTGGCGGGTGCTAATTTCCATCCCTGAGGTAGGTGTGCGCGGAGGCTCCGTCTTCTTTCATGGGGAAATCTTTTCCGGTTCATTTCTCCTGTTCAGTCGGTCGAGGTTAGATGTCCACGACCACGAGTGAAAACATGAACACAATGGAGGAGCTGCTTTATAGTGGAAAATTAAGTTGCACTTCTGATGAAATAAGACACTGGCACTGTTTTTCAAGTTTAATATGGTAAAGCTGCTTGGTTTTAAGCAATCTATTAAATAAAGTGCTATATAAATAAAAGTGACATGACTTTACTAGAGTGCTGAATTGCAGAGCTCGAGCAAACATATCCATGTTGCTATGATCAGATGCTGTCCTTATGCTTTGTTAAAAACAGGCTTGCGGTTTTATTAATTTTGTTGTGTTTATTTTGTTACTGAGAGGAAAGCGCACAGCACATGTTTATATATTCATCTAAAAGCTGCTCTTAGCAGTGTGGGCGGTGTAAGATGTTCGCTTGCAGTATATTGCTGCACTCATATTTCGAACTTCGTTTTACCCCTAAGCGAAGAATGAAAAAGAACCTCACCGTGAGTACATCAGGGCCTTGATAATCTCCAAGCCACTTCGTTATCACTCTTGCCTTGTGACATGAAGCTTTATCACCAAATTGTTCCTGGATCATTGGGAGAAGTTGCTCTTGTAGGACGTTTTGGGGTAGAATTGTGAGAGAGCTCACTCCCTTGGATGAATAGCAACCCCACACATGGAT